ATCAACATCATCATCATGATCATCATCATAATCAACATCCATATCACCATCACTCAACAACAACATCAACACCGTCATCATCATCATCATCATCATCATCATCATCATCATCATCAGATCCCCGAGGGCGGGTGGTCGTCCCTGCCTCTGGCTCAGACGTGCTCGCGCCGTGGCAACAATGGCGGCGTTTTTTGTATTGCCTGGCCGTTCTGGACCTCTGGGGGCCCTCGCCGGGCCGCGGGGCCGCTAAAAACCGTCAAACAAACGGCCACGATTGACAAGCTGGCCCTGGGGAAAGGGTCGGGACTTCCAGGGACCTCGCATGGAAAGACGCAAATCATCGCATGCCTGGGGAGAAGGGGGGGGGGACAGCACGAAATGAGGGGGGAAGCAGGGGGGAGGTGGTGGTCGTGTTGTTTGATCTCGCATCTCGCTCAGGGTGGTGAAGGAGGTGATTGACCACTACTGCTGTCCCTCGACTCGCGATGGAGCCTCCAGGATGTCTCCAAATTCTTCTGGTCGTCTCTGGATTTGCACCGAGCTACCCGGAATTGCATCGTTGCGCGTCCCGCTGCTGCTCTCCGCTCTCCAACGAAGGCTGGGCTGCCGCTCTTTGCCTCGCCTCCACCAGCACGTGGCCCCGACACGCTTTGGGCTCGAGGGCCCCCGTGGCCTGCCTGTAAGAAGAGGGTGGTGACTGAAGCGTGCAGCAGCCCTCGAAGACAGAAGCAGCCGGGCCCGCCTCCAGGAGTGCGCGGCATGCCTTGCCGTCCGATCCTGCGATCCTGCCGTCTGTGTGCCGTGCGACGCTGGGACTCGTCGTGTCCCCTAGGTCGTCTGCAGCAGGAGGGGGAGAAGGGGCAAAGGTCATCACGCTGGCACAGGCACTCCCCTTCTTGACTTCGCCGCTGAAGGTAGCAGCGCAAGCCTTCCCAGGACGGGTAAGGCGAAGGGGTATGAGTCGAGGGAGGGTAGGGGGGGGGGGGGCGACGGCGGCAACAAGGTGCCGGCCGTAGGCGGGCGATCCCTCCAAGTGGCCTTCAGAACCTGGGCCAGCGCGGGAACGGAAAGAGCGCTGCGGCAACCTGCCCGAGAGGGCTCATGGCACCCTTCGCTCTTGGGAGCTTTGCCGTTAAGAGCTTGTTGCGTCACCGATCGTTTTTGGGAGCCTTGCTGGCAAGAAAGTGTTACGTCACCGCTCTCTGTTGGGAGCCTTGCTGGGAAGAGCTTGTTACGTCACAGCTCTCTGTTCAGAGTCTTCGTGCCCAGAGATGCTTACGTTGCCGCTCGCTCTTGGGAGCCTTGGTGGTAAGAGCTTGTTGCGTCACCGCTCGCTCTTGGGAGCCTTGCTGTTAAGCGCGTGCTAGGTCACCGCTCTCAGTTGGGAGCCTTGCTCTTCCTCCTCCTCCTCATCCTCCGCCTCCTCCTCTTATTATTCCATTTTGGCTCAAGCGTTCGCAAGGTGCCGCCGTCCCGCTGCGTGATGGCTGCGCCTAGAGGGGCTCGCGCGCCGATGTCCGCCGCCGCCACGCTCGTGGAGGCGGCCGTGCGCGGCGCTGTCCTGGGTGGGGCCCCGCGCCGCACCGTCGCCGCGGTGGCGCGGTCGGCCGTCTCGGCAGCGCTCTTCGCGGAGCGCGCCGAGGCGCCCGCGCCGCCGCCGCGCGACGCTGCTGCTGGTGTTGCTCCTGACGTTCCTACCGGACCGGTGCCCGATGCTGGGGCTGCCGCCGACCCGCGCCCTGCGGCGCGGGCCGCGAAGCGGCGGCGGCGGCGGCAGAGGCGCGCGGCGCGCAAGGAGGCGGGCGCTGGTGCGCACGCCGAGCCTGGCGCCCACGGGATGGAGGTGGAGCTCGGCGACGAGTTCAACGAGTTCAACGACGAGTGGGCTGACGCGGCGCGTCGGCCTGCAGCCGCGGCGGCGGCTGCGCCGAAGGCGCCCGTGGCGCCTGCTGGTGCGGAGGCTGCTGGGCCGAAGCTGGCGGAGATGTCGGAGGCTGTCGCTGCGGCGTGCGTGCGCGCCCTCGCGGACCTGCCCGACGCGGAGCCAGCGACGATCGAGAAGGCGCTGGAGGCGGAGTTCCGCGCCAGCGGCATCGGCATCGGCTCCGATGCGGCAGGGTGTGGCGGCCGCCCGCTGCGGTAGCCACCCGTGCCACCCTGGGCATCGCTCGTGGAGGAGGTCTGCTCCCGCGAGGTGCCCGCGCCGAGTGCGCCCGGTGTTCGCGCTGGCCTTCGGCATCCATGTGGTCCTCTTCTGAGGGCCGCCCGCTGGACGGGCCCGTCGTCTCCCAGGGCGACCCCTGAGACCCCAGCTTGGCGCGGGGCTACTTGGCGGGCGTGTGGGAGGCGACGAGTCCGCCCAGCCTGGACGACCCCGCCGTCTCCCTGGCGCCCCCTTCGGGGGGAGTCGGGGCGGCGTCGAGGCCGCCCACACCTCTGCGCTCAGTCTGTGCCTCAGACGCGGCCTCCGATGACGCTCCTGACGCTCCTGACGCTCCTCTTATTATTCATATTATCCTCTTCCTCCTCCTTCTCCTCCTCTGCAACCTCCTCCTCCTCCTCCTTCCTCCTTCCTCCTCCTTCTCCTCCACCTCCTCCTCCTCCTCCTCCTCCTCCTCCTCCCTCGTCCTCGTCCTTCTCTTCCTCCTCCTCCTCCTCCTCCTCCTCCTCCTCCTCCTCCTCCTCCCTCGTCTCGCGTCCCTCCTCCCTCGTCCCTCGTCCCTCCTCCCTCCTCCGCCCTCCTCCTCCTCCTCCTCCTCCCTCCTCCCCTCCTCCTCCTCCTCCTCCTCCTCCTCTTCCCCGCCTCCGCCTCCTCCTCCTCCTCCCTCGTCCTTGTCCCTTTGCCTCCACCTCCTTCGTAGACTCCTCTTTCTCCTCTCTCCTCCTCTTCCTCCCTCCCTCCTCCTCCTCCTCCTCTCCTCCTCCTCCTCCTCCTTTCCCTCCTCTTTCCCCCCTCCTTTCTTTCCTCCTCCTTTCCTCTCCTCCTCGTCCCCACTCCTCCACTCCTCGTTCTCCTCCTCCTCCTCCTCCTCCCTCGTCCTCGTCCTTTTCCTCCACCTCCTTTTTCCCTTCTCTTTCTCCTCCACCCCACCTCCCACCTCCTCCTCCTCTCTCCTCCTCCTCCGCCCCCTCCTCTTCCTCCTCCCTCCGTCTTTCTTCTCGTACTCCTCTTCCTCCTCATTCCCCTCTCTTCCTTTCTCCTCCTTCTCCTTCTCTCTCCTCCCTCCTCTCTTCCTCCTCCTCCTCCACCTCCGCCTCCTCCTCCTCCTCCTCTTCCTCCTCCTCCGCCTCCTCCTCCTTCTCCTCCCTCGTCCCCGTCCTTTTCCTCCACCTCCTTGTTCTCCTCCTCTTTCTCCTCCTCCTCTCCCTCTTCACTCATTCTTCCTCTTCCTCCCCCCAGATCTCCCTGTGTTGCTACTGGGTCGACCGGCTGTTCCCGAGTGCAACCTGTCATGGCCATCATGCTCCTCATCCTCCTCCTCCTGCTCCGCCTCCTTTGGACCCAGTAGCAACACAGTGGTGGTAATATCGCACTTTTACGTCGAGGTCTCACGCCTCACTGTGTTGATATTGCGTACGTTTGTGTCGCTGTGCCCCCCCCCCCCCTGTGTTGCTACTGGGTCGGAAGGCTGTTCCCGAGTGCAACTTCTCATGGTCATCATGCTCCTCCACCTCCTCCTCCACCGCGTCTTGCGGACCCAGTAGCAACATAGTGGTGGTAATATCGCACGTCTACTCCTTCCTCCTCCTCCTCCATCTCTTCCTTTTTCTTCCCTCTCTTCCTCCTCCCCGCAGATCTCCCTGTGTTGCTACTGGGTCGGTTGCGTCACGGCTCGTGCTTGGGAGCCTTGCTGGCAAGCGCGTGTTACGTCACCGTTCTCTGTTGGGAGCCTTGTTGGGAAGAGCTTGTTGCGTCACGGCGTCCTCCTCCTCCTCCTCCTCCTCCTCCTCCTCCTCCTCCTTCCCCTCCTCCTCTTCGGGCCCGCCTGGGAGCTTATTGGGGCCCTCTTGGGCTCCCTCAGGGCCCTGGGGGCCCTCTTGGCCGTATTGGGGCCCTCTTGGGCCGCCTGGGGGCCATCTTGGGCTGTTTTGGGCCCCTCTGGGGTCGTCTTGGGACGATCTTTGGGGCCTCTGGGGCCGTTTTTGGGCCGTTTGGGGGCCCTCTTGAACCGTTTTGGGCCCGTTTGGGGCGCCTCTGGGGTCGTCTTGGGACGATCTTTGGGGCCTCTTGGCCCGTCTTGGGCCCGTCTCGACGCCCTTTCTCCCGCATCTGGGCCGCCAACTCCGTCAGAATGACGACCAAGGGGACCTTCGAGATCATCAGCCGCGACAGCGCCGACACGTTCCCAGAGTTGTCGGTGGGCCCCGTCAAGTGGAGCACGCCGTTCACTGGCCTCAAAGCCCTCCCCGAAAACCATTACCGAGACCAGCGACGTAAACAACTTCAGGGCCGCGATCGTCCTGAACGGCTCGCCACGGGTGAGAGCCCATGGGGGCCGTCTTCCACGTGAGGGCGAGGGAGAACCACCGCGCCGAGGAAGAGCCCCCCCCCCTACACCCCCAACCGCCGAAGACCACCTCCTGGCCCGCAGCCGTCGCATCGGCCCGGAAAACGGGCCCCAAAGTAAACCTCCCTATGGCGAATTGCCGTCGTCCTCCTCCAAGTCTCGAGCTCCTCCTTGCTGCAGCTGCTGATGAAGGACGCCGGCCGCGGCAGCTGGACTTTTCCCCGATGGTTGACAGCCGACGCCCAGGAAAACAACGGGGAAACGAACGGCCTGAGGTAATCGAGGACCCCCAGCGTTAAAGCTGATCTTCCCCAGGGCGGCCAGGAAGTCGGCCATCTGCACGCCGCCCTCGCCTAGCACAGCTGCGGTCCAGGCGCTGGCCCTCGACTCCGATACCCACGCCTGGTCGGACCCGAAGTGCACCCAGTAACCGACCCACGTGGTTTGATGCCCCCCTCTCCACACGCACCATGCCCATGGCGCCCCCAGGGCCACCCAGACCAAGATCAAGGTGCCCAGGCCAACGATCATTGCAGTGCGGCCCGCCAGGATCAGGAGGTCATCTGCGAACACCCGGGCGTCCTGCGGTCGGAGAAAGCGTGAGCAAAAAAACGCCAAGACCGCTCCAGACAGCCGCGACCACCAGTAGCCGACCGAAGCAACGCCGTAAAAGCGCCGACGCAGTTCACCCAGAACGGGCCTCCCTCTATAGACGGCATCCCTGCCATCCCCAGTCCTGCTTCCTGACCTCCACCCGCCTGCGCACCTTGCTCACGTCCCCGACGAGCACCAACTGCGTGGAACCCATGGTGTCCTTCTACTTCTCACGCATCAGCGTCCGCAGCTCGTCCGCGGAGGGAGATTTGACCTGGTGACCTTCGCCCCGTTCGTGCCGTCATGGGCGACGCAGATCTCGTCTTTCTCAACTACCACGGCCAAGCCCGCGATGTGCGGGTTCTCACCGTACTCCTGCACGGCATCTCCGTCGGTCATCTCCTTCGTCCACTCCAGGCGCTCCTCCCCGCGGGAAAGCTCCTTGATCTCCTCCCCGGAGCAGGCCATCGACCTGTAGTTCTCGACCTTGAACTGCGCGCCGTTGGCGTCCTCCTCCAAGGGCCACTGACCTCCTGGTCGAAGACCCCGTGCGTCCGCGACAAGGCGACTCCGACTCCGACTGGGGCCCCGCGTTCCAAAGTGCCGAACAACTTCCACTCCAAATCCCCCGGCTGATGCAACAAAGCTCCGATAAATCTGAGCCTGGACGACTGGCCCTCCGCGACCCCGCAGTACCCCACCTGCGGCCCCAAGGCCTCCGGCAGGAGCGAGGCCACCTTGCCCGCCGCGACATTGTCGAAGAAGCGCTCCTCGAATCTGCCCGCAGCCAGCCGTGGCGCGAACTTCAGAAGCATGTCCTCCCCGCCCCCGCCAGACCTCAGCCCCGCGGACTCCTCGGGCAACCGCCGCGCCGGATCCCAAACCTCCGCGCCCGAGGAGGTCGCCTGCCTTCGCCGCTCCCTCCGCGCGCGCGCCCGGGGGGGCACAGGCCGCCCCCGTGGGCGCAGTTCTGCGATTTCCCTACGAGCTCAGCCTTCCTCTCCAGGCGGAGGTTCGGGCGGACAGGGGCGGGGGGCCGGGCGCGAGGCGCCCGCCCGCCTCGCGGGCTGCCCGTCGTCGACGAAGTCCAGCATGACCGGGTCCTCGTCGCGGTGTTCCTTGACATGGTCCCTCCCCGCGTCCGCCCCGCCGCAGCGCCGCGGTCGTCGCGCGCGGCCCGCCGCCCCTTCCGTTCTGCCTCCGCCAGGCCGCGCAAGACATCCGCGTGGCGCCTGGCCCCCGCCGCAATGGCGCAGAAAGAGTCAGCTCCGCCGCCTCCCCCTTGGCCGGGCCAGTCGCGCTCCGACCCCCGAGAAGCTTGGCCGCGCCCCCCCCCTCTGCCGCGCGCGCCGACGCGGAAGGGGTTGGACCGCATCGAATGTCCATGCCCTGGAAGCCGACGCGCGGTTTACGCGGGCGCCCTCCACCTCCTCCGCGCGGCCCGACCTCGCCGGCGCCAGCTCCTCCTGATTCGGGTGGGCCCGGCGCCCCTGGCTGGCCCCACGCAGGGGCTCTGTCAGAAAGGGGCTGGGGTGCCAGAGGGGCGACCGTGCGCCGCGTCGCCAACTCAGAGAACGCTGCGCGCCGGGATGCAGGCCGCGCCGAGGACGTCGCGATCCTGGCACCGCTGGCGTCCGCGACGCGCCTCGCGCCTGCCGCGCTGGGAGTGGGCCGCGGCAGTCGCCCTGCCGGAGAATCGCGGCTCGCCGACCGCCGTCGCATCTCCGATCCCCGGCAAGTTCGTCAGACGCATGGTCGACCGTCTGGCGGCAGCCCTGAAGTCCCCCATGTACAGGGCTCCCAAAGCATGCCGGGAATCGCCCGGGGCGAACGCGCCTGCGGCCGCCCCCTATCGCCGCGGGGCCGAGGGGCGCGCCCGCCCACCGCCGCGCTTGGCCAAGATCTTCAGAGGCGCCGACCAGCACAACCTCTCCTCGAAGCATGTGGGCCCGCGACGCAGCTGCGATGATGTCCGCCAGCAGGCACCGCGACGCTCGCCGCCGACCTCGCTGCTTCCCCCAAGCCCGGAAAGCCTCGCGGGAAACTCGTGGACCTGACCGGCGGCGGGCCCGCGTCGCCGACGCCGCGCGAGCGCGCAAAGGTCAGGCGCGGCGGCGAGGCAATAATGGCGTCGATCACGCGCGCCTGCCCCGCCATCTTTTCCCCGGCCTCTCTCGAGGGGTGCGCGGCGCGGGCCAGCTTTCGGCGCGCCCGCTTCCTCCGCGCGCGCCTGCGTGTCATGCGCCCTGCCAGCTCTTGTCAGACGGTGCCCGATGCCCCCCCTCGATCCCCCGTGGAACAGGCGGAGCACGTGTCATCCGCCGCGGCCCCTGCCCCCGTGCTGATCTCGGCCGAGGGCGGGGGCGCGGCCCGCCCGGCCAGGCCGGCGTCTCAGGCT